GCTGACGTTGTGGGCCTAGACCCTCCTTCTGAAGAAGGGTCTCGGCCCGAAACGTCAGCTTTCCTGCTCCTATGATGCTGCTTGGCCTGCTGTGTTCATCCAGCTCTACACCTTGTTATCTCAGATTCTCCAGCATCTGCAGCTCCTACTATCTCTAGGAGCTGAGTGGCCCTCGCAGAACCCAAACTGAATGCCAGTGAGCAGGTTATTGCTAAGCAAGTGTGGCTTGATAGAACTGCTGATGGCACCTTTCATCACTTTACTGATGATCAAGAGTAGACTGATGGAGCGACAATTGTTTGGGTCGGATCTGTCCTACTTTTCTATACACAGGACATGCCTGCACAACTTTCCACACCGTTGGGTATAGAGTAGTGTTGTGACTGTACTGGAATAGCTTGGCTCAGGGCACAAGAAGTTCTGGAGCACAAGTCTTCGGTACTATTGCCAAAATGTTGTCAGGGTCCATGGCCATTGCAATATCTATTGCCACCAACCATTTCTTGATATCACATGGAGTGAATTGAATTGGCTGAAGACTGACATCTGTGACAATGGGTATCTCTGGAGGAGGCAGTAATGGATCATCCATTCAGTACATCTGGCTGAAGACTGTTGCAAATGTTTCAGCCTTACCTTTTACACAGATGTGCTGGGCTCCCCCATTATTAATATTTCATTGTCCACCACCATTCATGATTGGATGTGGCAGGACTGTGGAGCTTAAATCTGATCCATTGGTTGTGGAATTGCTTAGCTGTCTTTCACTTGCTGCTTCTGCTATTTGGCATGCAAATAGCTGCACCAGGTTAACACCATACTTTTGGAGATGCCTAGTACTTACTCTTAGTTGCCCACATGTAGTCTTCATTGGGCTGGTTGCAGTTAACCTGGAAAGTTAACTATGGCTCAATTATTGGACTGTGAGGACATTGGCCAAATGCCTGACCGTGCCCAACCCCCTTAACTGACTGGGGCAGTAACCTCTAACTGTTTGAAGTCCCCCTTGACACTACAAAAGGGCTGCTCCATTTTGATTTTCAGACCTGGCCATACAGCAACATGTCTGCCTTCTTGGCTGCACAATGCTCTGAAATGTGCCAAGCTGCCCCTCTCCTCATGCATGAGGGTCACAGCCTCTGAGTAAGTGCAAACTGAGTGAGATACGTGAAATAAATGTCCCCCACCTGTGTGTGAAGCGACCTGACAGCAGCATGTAATTCATAGGTGTCACCTAACCTCCAAAGTGAAGTCCTGAAGTGGTGTGTGTGTGAGTCAGTTTGATGACTATGTGGTGAAGGTGGTGACTTGCTGATGTTGAGTAGTGTGGTCAAAATGCAGAGAAGAGTGTGCCCATGAGGCATGCAGGGATCTCGTGAATGAAGGCCTCGAAGAAACATACAAGGAGTTACTGCCAACTCTGACTTTTGTGCTGTGAATTGGCTGCATCTCTTTGGAGAGGAGAGAATTGGAATTTGCACAGAAGTGAGGTGAGTTTAGCCAATGATGAGATGATGATGCATGGAAATAAGGTTGGTGCCACTTATTAGCCATTTAACCTTAAGGGTAATATTGGAAATTTTTTTCTCAACATTGAGACTCTGATATTTTCATTTTTGCCATACTTTCTACATTTCTTCCCGTTGCTTACACTGTTTAAGGGACAGAAAATCCTGCCCTATAACTTATTTTTTATAATGACACCAGCTCAACATTGCTTGTTTCCATGGCATAGAACTGACAACCCCCTCACATGGGTCTTGATTTGGTCCAATTTTCAGTCCCTTCACCCACAAATATGATATTCACCTCAGGCGATGCAAGCAAGGCCTAGGGTTCCACTTCTAGATGACAAGACAATAGTGACGTGACGGGGAAATTGTCATGGTGCTGCTGACCAATCTGCTCTCACACTGGTGACACTGGAATGTCTACAGCGAGTTGCCTTACAACAGTGTTGTTTAAATGCTGCAAACTGAGCACCTACTGGGTTAGTTCAGCTGCAAGTGCAGAGAGAAAGAGCAGGCATCATTTTGCTGCTGTGTAAGGGCAACAGCAAAAGCCAACAACAAGAACAATTCCTACTGAGAAGGGAAAAGCAGCTGCAACTATAGAGCACAATAAAAAAAAGACTCAACAACACAAATACAAAAACATTTTTTTTTATTCTGATTGCCGAATTATTTAAGGCAAGTATAAAAAATGAAAGCATTCAATATACACTTTACATAAAATAAACTAGATTACAGCATAAAACAAGTAACCAGGCAACTGCGCAAGTTCTTCCTAAATCTGGATAATTGTAAACATTTAAAACTGCTGAACTAGTTCAAGTAATAAACAATCACAGATGTCTTCTTGTATGGGCGGGTGGAAGAGATTATGTAGGCTATGGGGTAATCAGCCATTCAATATCATAAAGACATTTTATATTCACAGATGCTCATTATTTTCCATTTCAAACCTGTACATTATATACACTCACACACACGCGCGCGCACACACAATCACAATGGGCATTCTTATAACCCTCAGAGCCCTCTGCATGTAAAACCTTCACAATAAACAACAATGCAGTGGACATGTGAATACAGTTAGCACACAGACGCATTTAAATAGTGTCTAAGTGTTTTCAAGGGGTCACCAAGTACACGTAAACACTGTACCAAAGTGTTACTGTCACAATTAGCCTCTCTGAGGGTCTAAATGCCACAACCAGTTCAAAGGAACACCTACCCAGAACAGTATGCTCTACAAAACCAAGCAATTGTCATCTTTTTTGTTGCTAACATTTTCAGGAAACCGTAAAGTACAGTGACAACTGCCAACAATAACTGACCCTGCATTTGTGAGCCTGGTTACCAATACAAAAAAAAACCAAAAAGAATATATTTAAACAAAAGTTTAATTACAGCAACATTTGTAACTCAGTTATAAAATTTGCAATTTACAAATATGAAATGACTGGTTTCGCCTGACATCAAGGCATTTGAAATCAACACCATGGAACTGATGTCTGTATAAACCTTTTCTTCATGTGATCCAGTCACATGACTATGATTCAATATACACTCATGATGCCATCATTCCCTGCAGGAAAAAACAAAACAAGATGTCAGAATGGGATAGGTGAGCCTGTTAATTCAGTAAGTAATAAATCTACACAAAGTATGAGAATTCTAGGTCGCAATTTGATTTCAAGCCACTAGCTATTCTTGACCAAAGCAGCCACAGAGGTGCCACATTCAGCTTCACTATTCCTGGGTTAAGAAGGAAAGAGTCACCCAGGAATGCTGGTTCTGAGTGAACAACGTGTGGACATTGCATGAGGTCAGGGTTAGGTTCAGCTTTGGTTTAGTTGCCCTATCCATGTTCACAAGTGAATAATGGCCACTTGGCCAGGATAGTGGAGGGCTCTTTCAGGTCAAGGAACCATACTTCAGCAAAGATCTGGTGTCATAAAATAAAATCAAGAACTGCAGCTGCTGGAAATCTGAGCCAAAAAACAAAAGTTGCTGGAGGAACTCAGCCGGCCTGGCAGCATCTGTGGAGAGAAAGCCGAGTTAATGTTTTGGGTCCTGTGACCCTTCATCAGACCCCGTTCTCCAGCAATTTCTGTTTTTGTTTAGGATTTGATGTCCACGTGTTAAAGAAAGACATGAAGGGGTAAGAACATTGATAAAGGAGTTCTTAAAGTGTAAGGTGCTTCTTGCAGTATCAAGTTTGAGAATATTTAAGTAAAATCCTTTTTCTTGTGGAAGAATCAATTTACATAATAGAAGCTAAATACCTATTTCTCCTTCCTTAACTTTGTTGAAAACTTGTACTCAGACACAGTTCCAAGGAAACTGGCCCCTCTCTCTGATATCCTAATAACTGATTGTTTTTCACTTATGAACATCTGAAGATGAAGTGAAATCAGAAAGCACAATTCTACCTCAATCAACGTGCATCGATCCACATTTTCCAGGAATGGTCTTTGTGGGTTAAACAGGATTTGGGTGACATCTTTCCCTTCACAAGTCACGGACGTTTAGCTCAAGTGGAGCACACTCATGACCCCATGGCCTACTTGACGTGGAATTATTTTACTCTAAGTAGCTGAGTGCCAAAATATGTGTGCATTTGAGCAACAATGAAATAATACTCCATTAAACTTTCAGTCTTCCACTGACCTCTCATGTAGTTATTATGAAATTAGATAGAACCAGCCCACGAACCTGTCAAAAGGAACTGCACTGGAAAGGGTATGCTCAAGACACATTGGTCCTTGGATCCTGTTTAAATTCATGTTAAACAAGTGAGTCTGGTTTTAAATTATAGATACATGGGGTTGGTAGTGCCAGGCAATTGAGAGGAATGAGGAGGAGATAAAACTGTTATGTTGAGAAAGAAAGAGCCATCAAGAATGATTTAGCCTGGAGTCAGTGACGTTTTGAGACAGCCCCACTTCCCTGGATCCTATCTACGGAAGTGTAGAAAACTTAGAGTAAGGTCAACATTTCTTTCCTTGGGGTTTTTCTTGTTGTTGGCCACCCTCAGTCCCTTTGAGGAATGTTGATTAGGTCACGAGTAAATATGATATCCTTAAGGAGGCCTGAAATAGTTGCTGGGCCCCGAATTAGATATTTGAATGTGCTAACACGTGTTTCAAGTGCAGGGCCCTGTGCCCACAAACTTCAGCTGACAGCTGTCTGGAAGGCGATGGGAGGACATGGACAACTGACACCGATATCTGCTGCATCAAGACGCTTCTACACCGTCATTTCACGTGCAAAGACTTCTTTTTTAAAAATATACGCCTCACCTTCTCTGAGCAGGGAAAATGGCGGATGCAGAAGCCTGCGCGGCCACCTGCTGACCGGCAACGATGGCAGCCGATGCCAGCCCTAAAGGAGTTAATGCAAGCAGAGCCAACATTTAGAGTTAGTAGAACATGTAGCAAACACATACCAAATAATGCAGCTGGAACTGACAAGACCTGTAACATTGAAAACAAAAAAAATGCCGTCTGACTGATGATTTACTAGACTAAACCACTACTTTTAATTACACTATCTGAATGCTAAGAAGCATGGCAGCTCTGAGCTTGTGTTCTCTGAGAGACACATTTCTCACTTTTCCAGCACAGAAATACCGTGAGGGCACATTTGTTGTTGGCAAATGAGGCTTCAAATCAGCCACATGCATTGGGAGAATATACCTTCAACAAGCATGCTTCAGATTGTGATGTTACACCGGTACCAAGTTACATTGTTGCTCTTTTCTCATGGATTATCACATCAATTTCTCCCCCACATCTCAACCCTGGAACAGGGTGACTCCTTTCTGGAGTACTTTATCATTTTTACTGGTTCGATTCTTTGTACCATGCCACTATTATTAGCTTAGGCAGTGAAAGTCAGCAACCCATTTAGTTGCAGAAGATATCCAGGTCACATTCCAGTTTGCTCTTCAGCAAGCGTGTCTTATTTGAGCATGGGTTGCATTTTGAGGATAGGGTTGAATTTTCTCGATATAAGCCAGGGGACTTGAGTCTAATTGTGGCATGCGAACTGTTACATTGGCCACGTACTGCTAACTCAGCACGGATGAGGAATCAAACCTGGGCCAACATCCATGTGGCTCAGCTACGAGGTGCAGAAGTGTTCTAAATAGACAGCGAGAATGACACCTTTTGAATTAATTTGAAGTCACAGCTGAATCTAAAGTAGAGCAAGACTTTATTTTAAAAGTCATAGTTCGGCTCACCTGAAATTTAAACCATTGAATATCCCAGAGATAAAATACCAATATGCAATTTGGATGTTTGCTAAGAGCTGTAGGACACAATGCCCTTCCCCTCCTTTGTGCCTCAGAATAAAAGGACAACTGAGATCAGAAACTTGGTGCATTTAGGGACCAAATTTAGGGATTTAATTGTTGGAAGAGTAGATGTTAATGATATTTTTTATTATCATTGTAACTGAAAAACCAATAGGGGATCAATACAAAATGGACAGTGAAAAACGCAACAATAAAAATGCTTCAGCCATTATGACGAAATAGTAAACTTCAACAAAATGAAAAAAAAAATGGCTCAGTCAGATTGGTACCTTGATATGGGTCATATTGGCCTGGTATTAGAGGGTAACCCATTCCAACATGCGTGTGGTGATGGGTGTGCACATGCCGCTGTGCAAAAGGTGAATGGCGTTCTCTCTCTCGCTCAGCTTCTCTTTCACGTTCAGGTGCAGCTTTTTCGGCAGGCTACAGAAGAAAAAAATTGCAACGTTTCACAAACAAAAACAGTTCTGCAGAGTCAGGCTAATTACAATATAAATTACCATCTCCGACTCATCGCACCAAATATTTAGCTTGTACATATTAATTAAGTCTCACAACTTAACATTCTGCACGCATGCCAATAAAGCAAGAACAAACTTGAAAGGGAACCAGAAAACCATTTTTTCTCTCTTACTAACATCATAAAAAATAAAGGGAGGCATCCATCTATGATTTACTGTGATTTACTGAGTAAAGGTAGGTAAAAGATCCTGATATTTCAAAATCTCTTAACAAGGCTAAAACCTGAAACAGCAATGTCTCCAGGAAAACCGATCAATCTGGAGCTCAGTTATATGCCAATATGGACATTTCTTCAAGGTTTGAAAATATACTCATCGACTTGCAGTGGCCAAAAGTTGTGGCTTTAGAAAATATTCCCAAAACAAATTAAAGACATGAAGATCAACCAATTTATCGTGACTGTTTGATCATAGATCATAGAATCCCTACAGAGTGGAAACAAGCTCTTTGGCCCAACAAGTTCACACCGACCCTTAGACCCACCCAGACCCATTCCCCATAACCCACCTAATCTACACACCCCTAAAAACTATGGGCAATTTAGCATGGCCAATCCACCTACCCTGCACATCTTTGGACTGTGGGAGGAAACCAGAGCATGCAGACACAGGGAGAATGCGCAAACTCTACACAGACAGTCACCCGAGGGTGGAATCGAACGCAGGTCCCTGGCATTGTGAGGCAGCAGTGCTAACCACTGAGCACCGTGCCACCCATGACAAATTGACACCCTGAAAGTTTGACACTTTATTTCACATGCTCTCCTTGGATATATTTATCTTCATGTTCTTACAAAATGTGGTACATCAAGCAGGACATGTTGTCAAAGAAAATCATAAATGACTAGTTTTATATCCAAGTTTATTGCACCACAGAATTTTTAAATGGTGCCCTGTGCATATTGCCAAGCTTGAACAATTTTGACAGACTTTCGGTCACCCTACTCACCCCAGGAGACTTGGTGCGATACTGATTGGCATGCTGCTGAAGCAGGTCGAGAGCCTTGGATTCAGCTGCTGGTTTAGTGTTTACATTGGGGCTTGTGCTTGATTTCTCCGTTTCCTCTCGGCTGGACATCTTCCCATAGACAGGGTAGTGAAAGCCGGGAGAGAGGTATGCCCCTGTGGATTGATACACAAAATAGTTCAAGTCCTTCTTAAGTTTCAAAGAGCCTCCTGTTTTGAATGTTAGCAGAATCAAGATTTCATGCCACAAATCATGTTTGCGAGCGTATGACACAGAGGCAGAATTCAACATTCAGCCCCTGAGTCAGCTCCAGTATGCACTGAAATCATGGCTGATCCAGCAGGGTCTGGCAGCATCTGTGGAGACAGAAACAGAGTTAACCCTGAGTCTATTATGACTATAAAGTTTCAAAACTTTAACTCCGTTTCTCTCTCCACAGATGCTGCTGGACCTGCTAGTTTCTCAAGGCTCTGTGCTGAGTTTCTCTTTTCAGATTTTCACACACGCGACAAACACACACGACACACACACGCATACATGCAGATGACAAACACACACACACACCAAACACACACACAACACACGACAAACACACACACAACACATGACAAACACACATGACAAACACACGACAAACACACACAACACCAAACACACAACAAACACACACACAACACACACACGACAAACACACACACACCAAACACACAACAAACACACACACACACATGACAAACACACACGACAAACACTCACACACACAACACACCCACACCAAACACACACACAATACACACGATAAACACACACACAATACACACGACAAACATACACACTTCAAACACACACACACACACGACACACACACACACATATGACAAACACACACACTCACACTAGAGTGACCTACCTGGGTAGCTATGCATTAGCACCGGAGACACTGCTCGATAAGCTGGGTCATACATTTGTGAATAAGGATTATAAGCATGCAGGTATTGAATGTAAGATTGATGCTGATTCATTGGTGATGAGACAGCAACACGAGCTCCTCGAGACTCCTTTGCAATGACAGGAGTCTTACGATCATCAGTTTTATTTTTATGTTCCTCCAGTGAGAGAGACTGCGATTCAGCCCGTTTGGCATCTTTTGGCTCCTCTTTTATGTTAGTTACTCCCGTAGGAATATTAGATACATTTCCCTCTTTGCTGGATGCCTTAATTGGACTGTCTTCTTTCTGCTTTTTCTCTCGTTCAAAATCATCCATTTTTTGCTGTTCCATGTACTTTGGCTGGTAAACATAATGGTGCCATGCCCGGGTATCTGGTTCCTGTGTATAATCATAGAACATGTCACCTAGATTTCACATTCCATCACCTCGCTAAACTTGTGCTGTAAAACTCTTGTGATATTACCTCACACACACATGCACTTTTATATATTAAACTGACCTTTTGATATAACTCCAGCATCTGCAGTTCCTACTATCTCTGTTTTGATATAACTGTCTTGCAATTATGCCATGTTCACTTTCATTGCTAAATATATAGCAATCAAGCTTTATCCATTGTGCATAAAGGACTCTGCACTTCATAGGAATTACCTGGGATGTACTTAAAACTAATCGCTCAAAGCTCTCCATGAAGAATGGAATCTAAGAAATGTTTTTCTAATTATATTTCTTTCTTCTATGCAGATTAGAATCAAGGAGAGTCCAATTACAGTCATAATAACTAGCTCCTCTGCTCAACGAATACTTAAAGGTCCTTGGGTACAATTTAATATGAACAACCTATAAACTTTCTGCAGATATCTTGAAACACATGACACTAAAGTGCAACTGAAAGATTTGGACATGTTCTTTAACACCGAAAGGGTGGTTCAATCTTTATCAGTAATCAATTCAAAGCAAAGGTTGGTTTACACTCGAAAATGAATGGCAGGGTATAACCAGTATGCTTTAAACATGGAACAAATTAATTTGTCACTCATAATAACAACAAATTGACTATCGAGGAAGATTTATCGCAAATCAACTTGCTGATTCATTCTAGGATACAGTGGAGGAAAACAGGCTGGATATCTCACTGAGTTTGTTCCACCGTTCAAAGCGATCATGGCTAATCTCATTCCATATACCCATTTATCCATATCACTAAACATAACAAAAACCTATCAGTTAGTAATTAGCATTTTTCGAAGAGAATCTGTGTAGAACTGTTAGCCACCTTAGATGCAAAAGAATTTCTTCACCCAGAGGGTAAAGAGTGTCTGGAATTTTCTACCCTGGACAGTTGTTGAAGCTAGATCACCAAAAATATTTAAAGAGAAACTGAGATTTTTTTAAATATTAAGAAGTTGAGGCCTGGGACAAGTCAGCCACAGTTTTATAGGATGTGGGGCAGGCTTGAGGGGATGAATGGCCTCCTCCTGCTCTTATATCTTGTGCTCATATGTTCACTCCTGAAAGATCTGGCTAACCTTTACATGATGTCCTCCAGTCTTAGACCCTCGTAACCAATGGAAATACTTTCAATCTATCCCATTTGTTCCCCTTAGTATCTTGAATACTTGGTGAAATCATGACTTAACGTTCTCATAATGCTCACTTACAGGCCTCATCTCACTATTGCTGGTAGTCACCCAGTAGCAGAAGGGGACTCACCACAGGAGAAGACTGAGCAGGATTCGGGAGCTGGACTGTCGTTCAAAGACACTCAAAGGCCTGATTAAAAGGCCTAGCCTTGGGGAGAGAGGGACTGCTGAGAGCCAGCCCTCCATCCTGGCAGCCAAGCCCTATTCCCCAACAATCCTGACCCTGTGATGCCTTTCCTGCCATCACTCCTCTGTAGCTTTGGTCCCTCACTTATTGTGGGTGACTGCATTACTGGCAGTAGCCAACTCCCCATAGTGTGCTGCTGATCACTGAAGATTAACTGACTGGGTGGGCCTTCTACTTCTGGATCTTTGCTCCTGGGAAAGGACCTCTGCAGCCAGTTAAGTGCCTGACTGGGCCTTCCCACCAACTACATTAAATCCTGCCCTGAGGAAAGGTACAAGACTGTTCACAATATTTCAGGTTTGGTCAAATCCAGGATTGCAAAGCTGTGGCATAAACTTCACCCCTTTTTTTTTAGTCTCTCTAGATATATAGACCATCATTCCGTTAACCTTTATGATTCCATTAATGTTCCGAATCTTAATGAACTACATACATGGATCCCAATGTCCCTTTGAACCTTGACTGTTTCCAGCTTTCCACACTCTGTTCAATCTTCCGGTGTGGAAGACCCCATATTTGTTGATATGGAAATCCATTTGCTACACCTCTGCCCGTTCAATTTATTGGTATCTCTTATTGATATCTCTGCTTCTAACACCATGGTTACAACATCACCTATCTCTCTGTCATTGGAAAGTTTGAATATCTCACTCAGTACTTAGCTAACTTAGGTTACAGGAGACTAACTTGCAAACTCTCTACATTAACATTGCTGAAACTGGTTTCTTTACTTCAAGTGCAGGATTCTGATCCCACAAAAACATCAAATATTAACAGCCTTTAATGCTGATGGTTTAGTCCACAGCTTGGAAGTATTGGAGATTAGCACCAAATTATTTTCAGGTATTAGTCACAGAGTCATAGAGAAGTACAGCACGAAAACAGACCCTTCGATCCAACTCATCCACGCTGACCAGATATCCTTAATTAATCCAGTCCCATTTGCCAGCATTTGACCTATAACTATCTAAATCCTTCCTATTCATACGTCCATCCAGATGCTTTTTAAATGTTGTAATTATCCCAGCCTCCAACATTTGTTGGCAGCTCACTCCATACTCACACCACCCTCTGCCTGAAAAAGCTGACCCTAAGGTACCTTTTAAATCTTTCTCCTCTCATCTTAAACCTATGCACTCTAGGTTTGGACTCCCCCACTCCAGGGAAGAGAGCTTGGCTATTCACCCTATCCATGCCCCTCATCATTTTATAAACCCCTATACGGTCGTCCGTCAGCCTCTGACCCTCCAGGGAAAACAGCCCCAGTCAATTCAGCCTCTCCCTATAACTCAAACTCTCCAGCCCTGGCAACATTCTTGTAAATCTTTTCTGAACCTTATAAAGTTTCACAACACCCTTCCTGTAGCAGGGAGACTAGAATTGGACACAGTATTCCAAAAGCGATCTAACCAATATCCTGTACAGCCGCAATGTGACCTCCCAATTCCTATACTCAATGCACTGACCAATAAGGGCAAGCGTACCAAATGCCTTCTTCACTATCACTATCTACCTGCAACTCCACTTTCAAGGAACTGTGAACCTGCACTCCTGAAAATAATTTGATGCTCGTCTCCCTGCTGTGGACTAAACCGTCAGCATTAAAGGCTGTTAATATTTGATGTTTTTGTGGGATCAGAATTCTGCACTTGACGTAAAGAAACCAGTTTCAGCAATGTTAATGTAGAGAATTTGCAAGCTAGTCTCCTGTAACCTAAATTACCTAAGTACTGAGTGAGATATTCAAACTTTCCAATGACAGAGAGATAGGTGATGTTGTAACCATGGTGTTAGAAGTAGACGGGAGATATCAAAGCTTTGTTCAGCAGTACTCCCCAGGACCTTACTATTAAATGTATAAGTATAGCCCTGATTTGCCAAAAAAGATGCTTTTTGAGCAGAGGGTGCAGTACAGCAACCAGGGGTTTTCCCTATTGCGAGATGTGCTGATCCCAATAGTAGTAGCTCCATCACTATCAAAGGTAAACTGAGTTAACAGCACAAAACAGGGTTTAAAATTGTAAGTTATTTCTTTCCCCTTATCCCACCATTGGAGCCAAAGGTTTCAGACTTCTTCATCCTAAGCTGCTGTGAATTCCCTCCTTAAACTCCTCCCATTTCTTCACATAACTATCCACATTTATAAACTGTTGTTGCAAACTTTTAAGCCTGGCATTGTGGTGTGGCATCAGTTCCTTCGCCTACTTTCTCTTATTGCACTGTAAAGTGTTGTGGATCAATTCCATGTTAAAAGGATTTTACAAACATTATAAAATGTACAGCAAACTTTTTATTAACTGGCACCACGGGACCAAGAACGTGCCAGTTGGTCACATATTCTGGTTGATCAAGAGGTCCACATAATCAATATAAAACCACACATTAAATAATAGAAACATAAAGCAGGGGCTTTACACATCACTGTTATACTTTACTTACAGCATATGTCACTTAACTAAAACTTAGCAGCAGACAGCCTTTTACTCGCACCTGAATTGACTACTCAGACATCATGATAATACAGTAAACTTCTGATATTTGAGGTATCTCATTTTTGCCGGCTTATCAACAGTGCGGTTCATAAGGTGTCGGTTAAAACAAAGTTTGCTGTAATATTATTCACCCTGACCTCAATTTCATTAGCCACTGGCAAGCAACAAAAACTCAAGTTTTACCTGTTTAAAGCGGATGGTGGGGTCCACTCCTGTCTGCTTCATAGAGTCCATCACAGATTTCATTTCCACCGCCTCCTTGATGAGCTGGTGATTCTCCATTTGCTTGGCTTTAAACCCATCAATTGTCAGTTGTTGCTGCTGCACAGACTGAACGTGTGATTTCCCAAGCTCATCTGCTTTGCTAGTGATACCAGGTTTTGAGGAATCTGACAGCAAGAAGGAATCCTTAGCTTTTGCGCTACTTTTGTTTGGCTCGGGGGTAGAAGGGGCTTTTGAGATTGTAGCAGTCGGAATATTTTTCTGTTTTAATTCGTCTTTTCCCAGATCCTTCTGCTGCCCTTCACCTTTTCTTTCATTATCTCGACTCAACTGCTGCAGTTTCTGCTCTGCAAACCGCTGCTCCTCGTAAAACTTTTCATAATGTTGCCTGTAAGAAGGATTTGTCATGATCGACTTCTGGTCAACGTAACATAAGCCATATGCATATTGTCCGTAATACAGTGACTGAGCAAGTGCTGGATGTCTCTGCGTAATAACAGATTGATGCTGAGCATGAGCATTTACTGCACTTGTGTCACTTTTTTTAACATCCAAAACTTCCACCTTATCCTTTTTCTCAGTCTCTTCATCTGCCTCTTTTTTCACTTTGGTGCTCTGGGCTGAAGAAGGATTTCCAGTCGCGGCACTACTGACCTGACTAGGGTTCATGTAATTAGGAGAATAGTAAGGTTCGTAACCATGGTAAAAAGGTGAATGAGTCTCTTTACTTTGTGCTGGCTGAGAAGAGGCTGAGGAATGAGTTTTTACAATAGTCTCCTTGGAGGAAATTGTATCTGCGGGGGAATTAGTCTTTGACCTTGCGCCCTCTGACCTGCTGTCAGAGCCACCATCATCAGCAGCGTCAGAAATGTCCGAGTAAGCCGGGCTGTTTGTTTTGGTAGTGGTCCCATCGCCACCATTTTGTGTTAAAACATGCAGTGGTGTCATGGGAGATTGTCCATTAACCAGACTGCTGCAGTCCAGCCTACAGGCACTCCCAATAGAAGGGCTGGGTGCATTGTCTGTGAATGTGTAAACCTTATCAGCTTCGGCTTTTATGCTGGCCATTCTGCTCTCCTGAGAGTCACATAAACCATTCACAAGCACTTCATTTTTATTGAGATGCTCTTTTAAAAAATGTGCAGTCAGCTCTTTCGCGGAAGCCTTTAAATCCTCAGGTTTCCCGAGCTTAGAGTCCATCTTGGGGCTTACTGTCTCTTTGCCTTCTTTGTCTTTCAGCTTTCGCTTCTCTTTCTTCTTTTTATCCTTGAGGGAGGACAGAGCTGGGTTTACCGCGCTAGGCTCTCCCATAATTGTAGGCTTTGGTTGAATAGGTTTCAGTGGTGGGCTCTTTGGTGTTGCCTGGACAACTGTCGTAGTCAGAGAGGGTAGCCCTGGTATTGTTCCTGCAGTGGTGGTTGTGAATGTGGCTGTGGGAATAGCGATCAACTGTGGTGGGGGAGGGGCAGGGGCAATCGGTCTTGTTGTTTTAGGCTTTGATAACGTTTTATCCACTTTTCCATTGTTGCTCTTCTTTCCCTTTTCTTTGTCACCCACGTTTTTCTTGTCTATCACCCCTTCCACTTCAAGTTTGGGCATTTCTGAAGCAGACCCACCGTCAGGAACTGAGCAACTCTCCAAAGCTGCAGTCATATTAGAAATCACAGGAAGATTATTGAGGTCATTGTTGAGACCTTTCCTTTTACTAGCATTCTTCCCAGATTTAGAGTTGACTATTGGGCTCTGAGCAGCATTAGCCAAGTCTTTACGGACCTTTGGTGTCCCTGGGGTGCTAGTGATAGGTGACGGAGGAGCTTTCATCGGATCGTAACTTAATCCACCCCCAGAAAGCAACGTGCCGTTTCCTGGCTCAGCAGGTTCAACACCAATTGCCACGTTACTCAAAGCCTCTTCACAGTCTGACATTTTGTCTTCAATGTCCGGCTCAAATTCCAATTTATTCTCAGGATCTAAATGTGCGTGAGCCTGGTGGTATCGCAAACCATTAATGTGCTTGTATTTCTTACTACAGTTTGGATGGGGACAGTCAATTAACACTGGAGAAGAGCAACCTTGATCCACAAAAGCAGTTTCGGGCTTCCCCTGTGGCGTGGTCGGAGTGCTTCTTGAATTTGTGCGGACCCGCTTCCCGGACTTGGTGTCCTCAGAGCTGGAGTTGAGGTCCAGGTCCATGGGCGGCTTGTTCTTCCTTTTGGTAATGGGGGAAGGGCTCGTTTTCACATCCTCCATGGTACAGTTGGGGGGTGTCCTACGTCCACTCGTGTTAAGACTTCCCCGTCGTCCTTTCCCATTCGCCCCACCTCGGTTCTTGCTCTGCATGCCCCTGGACTCGGTAAAACTGGCTTCATTCATTGGAGCATTAGCCACGGACCGCGCCCTTTTCCCTCGACCTCGGCTTGCTCGCATTTCAAAGTCACTTGTGGGTGACTCACAAAACCTGTGGAACATAAAGTACACTTCAAGTTAGCATTAGTCGGAATTGTGAACGTTTGCAGCTCAGTCAAAAGTAAATGAGGACCACTAAGAAACAGAAAAGTGACTGCTGGCTGAATTTTTTTTTATTTGTTCACGGGATGAGGGTGTAGCTAGCCTGAGCAGCATTTATTGCTGCTGCAAAATCCTGAGAAGATGGTGGCGAGCTGCCTTCTTGAACTGCTGCAGTCCACATGGTGTAGGCACACCTTCAGTGCTGTTAGGGAGCAAGTTCCAGGACTTTGATCTAGTAACTGTGAAAGAACAGTGATGCAGTTCCATATAAGGATGGTGTATGGCTTGGAGGAGAACTTGCAAGTAATGGTGTTCCCTTGTATGTGCTGCCCACGTCTTTCTAGGGTTTGTGGGTTTGGAAGGTGCTGTCTAAGGAGCTTTGGTGAGCCTTGTTGCAGTGCAAATTATAGATGGTACACACTGCTGCCACTGTGCATAGCTGGTAGTGGGAGCACACACTTAAGGTGTTCAATGGGGTGCCAATCCAGTGGCCTGCTTTGTCCTGGATGGCGTTGATCTTTTTGAGTGTTGTTGCAACTGCATTCATCCAGGTAAATGGGGAGTATTCCATCAAAGTGCTGCCTTGAAGGTGGTGCACAGGCTTTGGGGAGTCAGGAGGTGAGTTACTCAATTTACAGACTGTCCAACTTTTAACATGCTCTTGTAGTCACAGTGATTTTATGATTGGTCCAGGTCAGTCTCTGGTAAGCCACAGGATGTTGAAATTTAGAAGCTCAGAAGAGAAATGCCAGCAAGATGCCAGATATGCTTTCAGACAATAATTATATATTAGATTGCAAATGTCTTCTTTTGACCATTCATTTGCAATAATACTTTTTTTAAAATATAAGGGCTCCCTGAAGACTCACCGATTTCTATCAAATCCTGATAGGGAGATTGAGTAGTAGTGGGTTACAGTCTAGCTTTTTTAATTTGTCAACTTTGGCTAAAAAGATGAATGATTTCACTTTTGTCTGTTAAGTTCTTACATCGAATGAGTCTAGCTAATTTCAACATTGGGACTGCCTTACAATATAAACATTATTGCTATATAACTGACAGCCATACATGCTGAATTAATGGAGCTGAACCAGCTAAGGAAGAGACTGAACCTTGGATTAATTGTAGACAAATAACAATACAAATAGAACTTTTTTTATTCATTCATGGGATGAGGACGTCACTGGTCAGGTCTGCATTTATTGCCCATCCCTAATTGCCCAGAGGGCAGTTAAGAATCAATCACATTGCTGTGGGTCTGCAGTCACATGTAGGCCAGACCAGGTAAGGATGGCAGTTTCCTTCCCTAAAGGACATTAGTGAACCAGATAGGTTTTTCCATTGTCATCATGAGACTCTTAATTCTGTTCTCTTTTCAGCTGAATTAAAATTCCACCATCTGTTGTGGTGGGATTTGAACCCAGGTTCCCAGAACATTACCTAGGTCTCTGGATTAACAGGCTAGCGATAATACCACTAGGCCATTGCCTCCCCCTAAGAATGTTTAGCCATATGTCCAAAATTGGTAAAGGTATGATTCTGAGGCTGTTATGCTAAACTTTACATTATCATGGTCAGATTGTGCCCTGAATGTGGCACCCAGATTTGTCATTAATTGAGGAATTACAAAGCCAGTTCCAAAGGACAAAGCATGTGGAAAACTTAGAAAAGCTTGAATTCAACCTTCAATTGAAACACACAAGGCTATTTAAATTTCGAAGTTGATGAAAAAGGTAAGCCCTGAACACAACTGAAAGTAAAAAAAAAAAACAAAATTGCAGAGCAGGGAGACAAAAGCACAAACGAAGAAAATGCAAGTTCAAAATTGATATCTGGAAGCATTTCTCAGTCCAAAGATCTCCGAAGTAGGGCAGTAAGGTCAAACCCTGGGCATCACTCAAAAAGCCATTAAAGCAGAGTGATAGGGTGGTTTCAGGTGTTAATTGAATATCAATTGGGTGTTAATTGTATTCAAGTGAGAGACATTAATTGGAAACACTCCTGTGTTTTTATATATGAAAGACAAGATGAAAGACAAATGCACAAGACGAAATATGTGTTCCTGTGTTCATTTACAGGATTTTATTAAAAGATGAGACACCAATGCCCTATTTTTCACAAACTGTTTATTCGACTTCTAACAAGAGTTTTCCATGTAAGAACAAGCTAGACGGGTTGAATGGTCTCTTTTATCTCCAGAATACATGCTCGGAATGAATTTTTAATCAATCCGTTCGAAAATGTTGTGAGACACTTCCAGCAGACGTTGGACTTGAACCTTTTGGCCCACGACCACGATGCCTTCACATGCTTGGTGTCATACTTTATTACAGAAACAAAAGCTACAACCCAACTAGGAGTAAGGGACACATTTTTATTTCATTTAGTAAATTAGAACTAATTGGGGCAGAAGGCCCAGGTTCATTCCCGAACAGGTTGATTAAAATAACTGCATTGACACTGATAAAACTCTTCAAAGTTGGGGCAATTTCAGGCTGTGTCATTTAGAAGTCTAAAATCCTTCTCCAATTATCTCGATTTGCATTAGGATTTCAAATACCTTGAAAGCAGGCTTACCGTGGGGGTGCCCAGTCATGTTTAGTGCAGTCCAGAAGTGTCCCGACATATGTTTTATTTCGCCAGGTCACATTTACCACTAGAACACCTGCAGGAGATGAGAAAGTGAAAAGTTTTTTAAAAAAATCCAACATCTTTATAATGGAAGTCCATTTTACCTTTTTCAGTCATGCACTTAAGGCACATTTGTTTTCTATGGCTGTGGTTTTGCATTCTTCCTCTTTCTGGCTTTGCTGACCTCAAGTCAAGACCGACAGGAAATTGTTTTTTTTAGTGTGTAATCGAGATATGGCTGACAGAAGGAAATGGTTCTCGCCACGTCCTGCTGTAAAACGGCAACACTCACCTCTTAATTTTTGCTGTTATTACACGTAATTGCTTTTGCTTGGCAAGCTGCCAGCACACACTGAGTCATTCTGCAGAACTAAAAAGCTGTCTGACCATAAGCAATCTGTGAACTTTTGCTTTTTGGTGCTGGGTGAATAAAGAGATGAAGTGGGCAGTGTTCGGAGAAAAAGGGGTTATGAAGACATAACCTTTCCCCAACAGAAAGATGTACATCAGTCAATCAGACACCTCCCCAAAGATTTCATTCACATTTCCTTCCTTCACCATCTGAATGTTTGCCAGAAAAAACATTATTTTTCTTCTCAAACAAAATCAATGCAAATAACTCAGTTGCAAAATGATTTAAAATTGTCTTCTGCACAAATTGCAACTATCCACTACTCAATGCAAAATCAATCTCGGTTCAAATTATGAATTTAATATTGAATGCTGTGAGCACTATTATACAGAATTCTGGGAGAGTAATTAAATGGCACCCAACATAAGGTCCATCACTGGAATTATTTTTCTATTAATTAGATTTCCTTCATTGCCTAAACGACATGCAATGTTGGTTTGCTGGTGATTAAATTTACATAAATCCTATGTCCTCCTCCTGCCATTTTTAATTGTGGTGTGTAATACAATCGTCATCAAGTAGTAACATTGACTGTGGGTTTTTATTTATCTACTCGATTAGAACTACACATCATCATTTCATATGATTTATTTCTCAAAACTCTGTGGGTTTCTCCTCTCATGAACAAATGTAGAGAGATGAAGCTCTTCAAAACCAAATGGGAAAAAAGTCAAGGACCAAATGATTTCTCACCAGTTTTTTCTTATCTGCACATGTACAGGATACATTTTTAAAAAAATCTCAGCATTGACAACACATTTCTCCTTATACAGTATGGAAATGTAAACTAATTCATATTTCACTCCTACTGTAAGGTTTTACCTTTTTTTCAGATTCAATTACAAACAGATATTTTAAATTTTATCTTAAAAGTCTGTATTTTGTTAGGAGCAGACGTCAAAACTAGACTCTGTATACCTTTATAACCTTCAGTTATCAAGAGTTTAATCGTACTGAATAAAACCACAAAACATCTATCTTACACTGCAGTCACATGGAAAGAAACAGCCTTCCCCAGCTCGGTCTCCAAGGGCCTGTAAACAGAACAATCCTGCAATTTAATTCCCCAAAGAACTGACAAAATGCTACTGTGGGGGGAGAGCCTAAACATACCATTATTCTTATCTCCATGTGACTCTAGCACATTTAACTAGGTGAGAAAACAGGTCTACTATACACTGTCCTACAGCAAAACAATAATGTGACTGTAGTCGACTTTTCTACAACTCTCCCTCCCCAAACAAAAAAGAACTCCCATCTGAAAAATTCTGTGAAATAAGGGCATTCTCAAACAGCCCGGCCTTTTTTTTCTCCCCTCTTTTCACAATACTAGCTATGGTATCGCAGAACTCTCAGCTGCATTAAATTCTTGAACATGTCAACAGTATTTACAACACTAATGCATTTGTATCGCCAGAGGGTTTTTGTTTTGTCTCTCTCCCTGGACCCATCCCAGGGATTGCTAGTTCCAGTCACAACTGACTGCAGCAGTGCAGCTGTGGCAACAGAGGGAGGGGTGGGGGATGGAAAAAAAAACAGAATACAAACGTATAATTAAAATCCCCACCCCCTCAAAAAAGCTTCAGAATTTTGAAGAGAAAGGGACAAGCAAGTCCTTTCAGAGCTGCCGCAATAAAATCGTGAAAGACGAAAGACCAGTGAAGACACTTAACATTTGTCTGCAGTGAAAGCCTTTGTTTAAGCATTTCCCTTCAGGGTTTCATGTTGCCAACCCAAAGGTGCCACTTCATTGGCTTGCTCCTGTTGCGAGTGCTGCAAGCTGATTGGTTCCTCCTCAGCTTTGCAGCAGAGAACACAAAGAGAGAAGCTTTAGTAAAGAGATGGGTGCTTTGGAGAAAACACTGCAGCACCATAATCTAAACAATACTGTTTCCAGGGTTTCAAAATCAAACCCAAATGGGAACCTGCAAAGAAATATTTTTCCTTCCGAAAACTGACAATGCTCATCTCTGACCTTTAAAGGCTGCCCTGTCACTTTTGGAATCACGTCAAACATGAATATAATGGCTGATAGTTCAATCGACCAATGAAGGCAAAAGAAAATCAGATTGATCAATTGGAGCTTGCTGCCAAAACTCATGCATCAAATTAACCTTTCCTCACATGGATGCGGCTAATGATAAATCAACACTCCACAAACCAGCACCTTATCCAAATCGAAGATTTTCCACAGAAACCAGCAGGCCTGTAGCTTATTGTTGGAGGAGCTGTGCCAGCTCTGGAATTCCAAATATCCTCACGTAAACAGCCTCTGACCTTCTCTTTTTAACTGCTAGGTTACTGAAGCATACCGCATGCCGCCATGCCTTTTTAACCACAGGGCTCATAAAAAATTACACTGTTAAATTACATCCATGAGCACCGTACACTGAGGCCCTGTCAGAGCTCCACTCAACACTTTCAATCTGTTCACTATGACAAATTTAGCAGTGGAGTGCAGTAAAGAATCCTTTCGTAGCTCACAGACCAAACAACTGTAAATGCCTTTCAGTATTTAGATAATGTCAAGACAAATAAAGCCTTATGGAAAAATGCAGACTGCCAAGCCTGTTTGGTTTTCAAAAGGATAAATAAGAACTGGCTACAAAAAAAACATGTTTTTCTTCACTGACAGACTGCACAAGGTGAGGAGAGTTTACAGTGTTTTCATGTGTGGAAACAAAGCACCAATTTCACTGACATCAAAGTTACTTCGAGAAACAAGTGTTCTGGCTGCAGGTTCTGTGCACTGGATGAACAATGGGCCTGTGTCCCATTG